AAAACGCCACTGCAGTTATTCATATGTGGGGTAATAGAAGTCTGGGGTGGAAATGGGAAGAAAGCGGTGTGAATCAGTTTGAAGGCATGATCAGTGGGACTTGATGACGTATATGCAGAGAGGATGAACAAAAAGAAAGGATTAAAAATGGAGGTAAGGATTTTGGTCTGGAAGACTGGTAGATAAAATGGTCTAAATGAGCAGAAATGTCAAGTTGAAGCGTCAGTCCATTTGCAAAAAGATAATGAAAAATTTGATTCGGGACCTGCTGAGTTTAGGTGACTTGAGAAAACTCTTCTGCAATCGAAACACAGGTGAGAGGGGACAAGATTTGAAGGAGGAGAGCATTGGTTCACAATGTATAAAACTAGAGATACATCAGCAGGAGAGAGAAACTTGGTTGTATAATTTCTCTACCTGGGTGGACATGTAAACATCAGAGTTGTTGCCATTAACTCCCCAGAATCCTTTCCTATCAAACCAAACACTACATTCATTCCATCCTTTTTCTGAACATCGTTGGCTTATCCAGAAATGTTGCTTCACATTTTCACTATGCTTTCCATTTCAGGTTCTGGAAACCTTAGTAGAAGCTTACTCCTCTAATCATTGTGCATACTATCTCCACTGTAAATGCTCAATAAGCATTTTCAACGAAGCTATAAAGAAGGCCCTTCTTTTTCCACTTCCTTTGATGTTCAAGAACTATGATTGTCTTCGCTGATAAGACCTGTTTCTGATACATGTTATCAATGCGGGTTATGTCTGGGAGACAGGGATGTTGAATGATGTTTTGTCAATGAGTCTCTAGCTTCAACATTCATCAGCTTAAGATGGGGATGCAGAAAAGCTGCTCTGAAAAAAAAAAATTTCATATGAAGTTGGCTGGGGCTGCCTGAGCTACTAATCCCTGCAAGGTTTTCAGTCTCTGCCTTGAGCTTTGGAGCGCATTATTGCCTTAACCTCTACTTCAGATCTCTCCATGGTAACGCTGGAATGTTTGCTATTTTAGGAATCATGCCTCATTGAACAGCAGCGTTATTTGCATTGGGTTCCAAACAAGCCATAAATGCAATGGCTTCGGTGTCTGCTGCTTTGTGTGGGTGCCTGGTTGTTAAATGCATGCCTCTCCCGAATTCTGTTGTTCTGTTTCATTCTCAGGCCAGCCACAGTGAAATTACATGGTAATGAGTATCACCTTATACTGGGGGGAATGGAGAGAGAAAGGGGGAAGACACAGAACGAGAGTTCCTCTAGACCAGTGGTTCTCAATCTTCCTAATGCCTCGACCCTTTAATACAGTTTCTCATGTTGTGGTGACCCCCAACCATAAAATTATTTTTGTTGCTACTTCATAACTGTAATTTTGCTACTGTTATGAATCGTCATGTAAATATCTGATATGCAGGATGTATTTTCATTGTTACAAATTGAACATAATTAAAGCATAGTGATTAATCACAAAACAATATGTAATTATATATGTGTTTTCCGATGGTCTTAGGCGACCCCTGTGAAAGGGTCGTTAGACTCCCAAAGGGGTCGTGACCCACAGGTTGAGAACCGCTGCTCTAGACTGTCCTTTGCAGGCACATCATTTCCGCTGCCTGCACACCCTCCAGGAATGGTTTCATTTAAAAGGTTCTTTGAGATGAAGCTCCTGCCATTCTGTAAAGGGAATAATATCCGTCACCGGGGCCACTGCCAGCTTTCCCCTGCAACGCTGAGGACGCCTTCACCAAGGAAGAGAGAGATGCTTTGTAAACTTCGGTTCTCTGACTCCCTAGTGAAAAGGGGGACAGCCACCTCAAACAGCTCCCAAGCACCCCGATCACAGCATGCTAGAGACCCGAGTGGATACAGAGGACGGGAGGCCAACGCAGTATTGTCAATCGGTGGCATGTTAAGCTTAGGGCATTTTTGTTGTTCTATGAAGTTAATTATCTAATAGAAGCTCAGAAGTATTGTGCAAGCACACTCCAGCTGCAGTGGATGCTGTGCGATGTTTTGGTAGAATGGAAAAGGGAAACAGAGGGAAAATAAAATCAGTTGAGTCAACTAATCTGTATCAAAGCCGTGCGTCTTATTTGCAGAAACTAAAATGCAGCTACTATTTGCAGATACGGGGGGACACCCAGAGCAAAGCCTTCCGGTGTCACAAATAGCAAGAGTTGCCACACACTACTGCATACAGAGGGGGGAGACAAAGCGCCTCATAACTGGTTGTATCATCATCTTTATGCCTCTGTCCAATTCACAGAATGGAGTAGATGAAGCCAGTTATTAGCTGTGTCAAACCACAATGTACTACCTTGAGGCATGACATCAAATATCTGCTCAGTCAATCAGTCTAAACAACCACCAGGATTATCTTCCTAAAATACATTAGATGCTTTTATTCCCCTTGCTTAATTTTTTAAAAATTCTCAGTTGCCTACAACATGAAGTCCTTAGCGTGACATTTGTGGGACGTTCCAGCTATGTATTTCACTCTCCAACATTTACCATATATTTGGTAACACCAATTCCTCCCAATTCCTTCACTATGCATATATTGTTCCCCTTGCTTAGAATGCACTTCTTCAATTTTATGTCGGTTGTACTCAATCTTTAAGGCCGGGTCAAGGGGGACTTCCAGGTGAGGCTTTCTCTGACTTATTCCCTGTAATTGATGGGTCCCTTTAGCATTGTGCGTATATTTCGATGTCTTTATTTATCATCCTGTATTTTAATTCTTTACATGCCAATCTTTTATTGGACTATTAACCCTTTGGAGGCTAGGACCCCTTAGGCCATGGTTCTACTGAGCAACTGTACAATCTCCGTTGGTGAATTCTGCCAATTCATGGGGATGTTTCTTGTTTTTATTGCCATACCAATAATGAGTGGGACAAAGGGTGCTACATAACTTGCAATGGACAAAGCATGACATTTGAATGACTTTCAAATCTTCCATGGGGCACTGATGGAAGTAATAAAACTGTTTACATAATCATCTGAACTGAGGACTTAATTCTACTGTATATATGGACATACTAATATACACTAAATTTTCCATGAGTTGAACTGCTGTGTAAATTAGGAGAGAACTGGTTTTGTTTCATTTGGAAACTTACCAAGAGTTTTGGCATCACCGTTGGCTCATTATCATGTTGGCATCACCACTAACTCATTACTAACAGCATTGCCACTTGCCATTTCTGAAGTGCCAACAGAACATGCCTGCATGTTATAACATCACTTATAAAGGCAGACTGCATTTGAAGCTGTGATAATCACAGTGCTTTCTGTTACAGTTATAAGCACCTATTTCTTTGTCTTTTTAATATAATTGTGCTCAAGAACTTACATATTAAAAAAACATTATTTTATTATAAATTACTCTCTTTTTATGCCTCCTATGTCAATATACTTCACAGGGTTGTTTTCAGACGTGTTAATTTGAGTTAATGTATAAGATATTTAGAGTCACACCTGGTACATAGAAAATGGTACAATATGTACTGATTTCATTACTACAGAAAAGTTGTTGAATATTCATTGATAAATATTTTAAATTACACTTGGGATATATTTTATATTTTAATAACAACCATTTGAGTGATTAAATTTTCCCAAGATATTACAGAAAGTGCTTCAATACTTCTTTTTGTCTAGGAGATTAAAGTGGGAGATAATTATCATTGTGATCAATTTGCTCTGAACCATTCATACTCCAATGTGGTCCACCTGAGGAGCAATAACTCAAATTGACAACTCTGAGTTCAGTTTTTGTCTGTAAAATAGTTTTTTTTTTAATGTGCAAGGCTAACAGGTCTGAAGGGAGAATTATGAACATTAATCTCACTAATAAACAACAGCTATATTTATTAATTTTGTCCTTGTTATAAAACAAAGACAGTTGCAATGTGAGTGAGGTTTGCAATATCTGACTGACTGACTATGTCTCCATAACTGCTACTTATTTTAGGAACAGCCTTACTCTTTCAGGTTGTTAATAGGGATAGTGATGATAGTAGTTACCAGGTTGTAAGTCATACTCTAGACATCTCATACATGTTATTTCTAATCCGTACAAATAGCGAACATGAGGTATTTTAATGCCTATTTTACAGAGAAGGAAACCACTTGGAGGGTTTATGTAATGTGCCCAAGACTATACATAAAACAAGTGTTGACACTCAGATTCAAATTCCAAAACCTGAGCACATTCTTTCATACCACTTTGCGTCCCTCATTAAAATCCAAGAGACTTGCCCTGGCTGGGTGGCTCAGTTGGTTGGAGTGTCATCCCATACACCAAAAGGTTTCAGGTTCGATTCCCGGTCAGAGTACATACCTAGCTTGTGGGTTCCATCACTAGCTGGGGCATGTACAAGAGGCATCTGACTGATGTTTCTCTCTCGAATTGATGTTCTCAATCAATCAATCAATCAAAATATATCTTCAGGTGAGGATTAAAAAAAATTGTTCCGCCCTGACTGGTTTGGCTCAGTGGATAGAGCGTCGGCCTGCGGACTGAAGGGTCCCAGGTTCGATTCCGGTCAAGGGCATGTACTTTGATTGTGGGCACATCCCCAGTAGGGGGTGTGCAGGAGGCAGCTGATCGATGTTTCTAAGTCTCTATCCCTCTCCCTTCCTCTCT